GTGATGCATATAGAAAAAAATGTATGTGATAGTCTTATTGGCACCCTCCTAAATGTTCCTGACAAGACTAAAGATGGTGTTAATGCTAGAAAAGACTTAATAGACATGGGCATTCGAACTGAGCTTGGACCGCAAGAAAAAGGACATCGCACATTTCTCCCTCCTGCTTGCTACACACTTTCTAAAGAAGAAAAAATCACTCTTTGTCAATGTCTACGTGATATAAAGGTTCCTCAAGGGTATGCTGGAAACATTAGGTTCCAGCATACCCTTGAGTTGACGGCGGGTCGGAGCGTTTTCCGGCGAAATCCGGCGAAATTGACGGAGGGCACCAACTCCAATGCGGTCGTGGCATCCGGGCGACCTCCAAGGACCCCTCAATTGCAAGATTTGATGAAGATTTGCAAAACCCCCAATTTTGGATCCAATTTCGAATTTTAGGGTTTTTTCGAGTAGAAAAATTCAGATTCGAGAAGTTACAGGCCAAATTAGACAAAATGGTTTGGATATTATTGATCCTCGTCTCAAGACGAAGAGAATGACATTGGTCCCGCCGGAATCGGAAAAAGTTCATTTTCCGGCGACTTTGACCGGCGGGCGTTGGCGGCGGGGCGTGGAAGAAAAGAAAAGAAGAAATGGGGTCAAATTGAAAATTTTAAAATATATAAAATTCGAATTTGGCCCTAATGACCGGAAGTTAACCTAGAAACGGGCTAATGGCTCATTAGTGAAAGGATTGTGTAAGTTCAGGGATTTTTGTGAAAGGATTTGAAGTTCAGGTACCACCTCGAAATTCCAGCTAAAGTTCAGGTACCATTTGTGAAATTTAACCAAGCAAATTAGATTCAATCTTCATTTTTGCCCTTCCGTTTCCTTTTCCGTCAAGTGTCTACCTCTCAATCTGGAATTGCCCCTGCACCACTAAGAATTGCTCTCAACCGGAAGAAATTGTTCTCAATCCGACGGAATCACCTTCTCTCTTCGTTTAGATCTTGAGCTCAATCAATCTATTTTCATTTCTCTTTGTGTAGCATTTAATTTTTTTTGTGTGCCAAATTTCTATTGTTCATGCATTGCACCTTCTCAAGCGGTAGCCTTTCAGTTTTAGACCCTCAGGTAGCAAGAGTCTCTTTTTCGGGGAGGGCAAGTGCAGGTTCTCCTTCTTCGAGCTAGGGTTTCTTCTTTTTAAGGGTTCTCTTCTATCCCTTTTTAATACTCCACAGTTTTTTTATATTTAGATTCAATTTCTTTTGATGATTTATTATTCGATATTATTTAAATAATAGGTTGTGAAAATTTTAAAACAATCTTATGGACCGAATTCGAAAAGAGTAATACAATTTTTCATCTCTTTTGTTGGATAAAGATTTAAAATATTTGAGATAAAGATTTAAAATATTTGAGATTGTGTTTGGAAATTATTGTGAGTACTAACCAAATTTGCCATTGTTTTGTATGGTCGAGATTATGTACACATTCTTTTTTGTATATGATATAAACAAGTTGTATGTCCTTTTCGTTTTATCTATTCTCTCTATTAGACAACATATAATTTAACTACTCTTTATATGAGTATATTTTTAGAAAAATCTCAATCTTGGATTGTTAATCTGCATTACATGTTTGTTGTGGTTAATCTATGTTTAAGACCACAAATTTGCCTAATATTTTCTTGTGAGGAATGGATTATATGAAATTGGGTTGAATTCAAGTTAAAGATTGGGTGTTCGTGAGTAGAAGTAGAGAATATGCATTATATCTTGATGAGATTGGTTTACTTTTCTATGGGCTCTGTTGAAGTAGAAGTAGAAAATATGCCTCCCAGGAGGGCTTAGCTAAATAAAGATTCCCTAGTGCAGTGTCACTTTTCTTCTCTGTTGAAACCAGTAAATTTTCGAAATTAATTGACTCTAGTGTTCCTATCAAGGATGACCAGTTTCTTGATTTAGAAAAATCAGTATACTTTAGCCTGCAATTCTATGTGTGTAATATGAAGAAACCACAATTTATGCTCTCTACAACTTCAAAAATCTTCCAAGGACAATAATGTGGGATTGTGGCAGTCAACACTTTGAGACACAAAGTTTTTGTGTCGCCCAATGGTAGGTAAGCACCACGCTGTGATGCTCATATCAGAACTCCCACCGTTGGTGGCATTTGTATTCGGAGAGCACTACAAGTTTCGGGTCACTTATCATAGTTCTTTCAAAGATACTGTATGGAACTGTTATTGATGTGCTGCGCTCTAGAAAATTTGTCAATTTGATCCATCCAGCTGAAGGGCATGCTGAGAAAATGCAATTGGTAATTTATATTCCTTTTGGATGCTATGTTAGGTTTTAATTATATCATGCTCCTGGTCCTGGAATTTGAATTAAAAGCTCAAGAACTATTCCATTGCAATGCTTGGAAGGATCGAGGTTTAGAAGAAAAACAATTGAAAGGGGAGAGTACTTTTGAAGCTGTGTAGAAACAAAAAGTCGCCCTGTCAATCCTTTCGGTTTTGATAATAATAATACTAGTTGCCTTGTTTACATAGTATGAGGTATCATTTGTGATGAACATGTGCGGCATGTTCCCAAGGCAAAAAACTTTAAAGTTGTCTCTTCAATTTTCGTAATAAATGGGTTGGCTTCTTTTTTTTTTGTTGTAGAATTTTGTAAATAGTTTTTATTTCTAAAATTTACACGTAGAATAATTAAATTGAATTGAAAAAAATAACTTCTACCAAACATTATAAACTGAAACAAGAATAAAGTTTTAGAACTGATGTGGCATAATTTTTATAATCAAACACTTGTTGATTTTATTTATTTTCAATTCAACTTATATAGGTAATGGTACAAAATTTTATAATACTCCATCTGTCCCAAATTAAATTTTGCAGTTTGACTTTACAAAATTTAAAAAGTGTTGAAAAGATAAAAAATGAGTGTTTGAAATTTATTTAAATGAAAGACAAAACGTTATTATATAAATACCATGGATGAAATGCGCTCTTTGAAAAAATAAAAAATCTTCAAGTCGGCTCATAAAAAATATATCAAAATAGGAGCTCTATGTTTTTATTCCCGAAATAATAGTTAAAAAACATTTATGTTACCAATCATGATCATGTACATTACCAAAAAGTATAATAAAATGCACATGTATAGCGTCACATAACCACATTGTGAACTCCTATTTGGAGATTAAAAATATGGAACTTCTATTTTGATTTTTTCTCCATGTTTTGCTCCTATTTAGGGTGATTTTTTTATTAATTTAGGGTTCTCCTCATTTTATTTTTATTGCTTATTCTATCTGTCAATTAATTTCTTTCCCACCTTTTTTGGGTCGTCCACAAATTTTTTTCCCCTGTTTTCTAATTTGGAAAAAACTTTTTAATGGATGTCATTTTACCACTACTTTTCATCTACATTATTTACTTTATTTTATCATATTAAGCGCGAACATGGAAAGTCTTTACATTATTTAACTTTTTATAAGGTCGGTTCCGTTCAACTTATTTTTTCAGATTATTACTTATTCTTATTAACATCAGATCAGACAATCAGACCAGACCAGGTCAGAAAACAATTATAAATATAACTACAATTAGATCAGATGAGACTAGATCTTCAAAAATGAGATAAGATTAGATTAGGCGAACAAAATGCAACCTTAATCTTCAAACTGATTGGTCCTAATTCAGTCTATTTAAATTTAATCAAGTCTGATTAAACTTGATATGATTTTAACATTTTTCTCTTTGGTGACACTATTGTTTCTCTTTGAGATTTCTCAACTCAGTGTTATTTTTCTTTTTGAGCCTTTACTATTCTCATCTTAATACGGGGTATTACAATAATAGTGATAAAAGTATTAATTATAAGAAGACTAATAATAATAATAATAATAGTAATAATAATATAATAGTAATAATAATAATAATAGTAATAGTAATATTAGTAAGAATGATAATAATAATAATAATAATAGTAGTAGTAGTAATAATAATAAATAATAGTAATAATTATAATAAGGATAGTAATAATAATAATAATAGTCATAATAATAATAATAAGTGGCCGAAATTATAGTAATAATTATTATATTTATAATAATTATAAAATGACCGAAAGGTAAGTTAATAAATGTGAAGTTAAAATGGTAAGTGGCTGAAATTGTGAAGTTCTAATTATTAAAAAAAAGTATAACTATAATAATTAACGTATTGGAAATTGGAAATAATTAAAAAGGTGAGTTAATAATTGTAGTGGTCAAAATTGTAGTAATAATTATTATATTTATAATAATTATAAAATGGCCGAAAGGTAAGTTAATAATTGTGAAGCTAAAATGGAAAGTGGCTGAAATTGTGAAGTTATAATTATTTAAAAAGGTATATATAATAATTAACGTATTGAAAATTGGAACTGATTAAAAAAGGTAAGTTAATAATTGTAGTGGCCGAAATTGTAGTAATAATCATTACAATTATTATATTTATAATAATTATAAAATGGCTGAAAGGTAAGTATATAATTGTGATGTTAAAATGGTAAGTGGCCGAAATTGTGGATTTATAATTATTAAAAAAGGTATAAATATAATAATAGCTATTATTTTTATAATAATAATTAATTAACGTATTGTAAGTGTGAAGTTAATATAGCTATTATTTTTATAATAATTAACGTGAGTATTATAAAATGGTAAGCGTGACGTTAATATAATTATTATATATATAATAATTAACATATTGAAAATTAGAAATAATTAAAAAAGGTAAGTTATAAAATTGGAGAGCGTAAGTTTTTAATAAAATTGGAATCAATGTATTATATGCTAATAATTAACCAACGTTATTTTGACTACTGATGGGAAACGTCTGAAATTATGGTAAGAATAAATAACTGTCAATAGATTAAATAGATTAAAAAACTGTATTGGATGGTGTGTAAAAATGAAAGTGGACAAATACTCTGGGACGGAGGCAGTATAATTATTTTTATAATAATTAACATGAGTAATATAAAATGGTAAGCCATCGGAAGCTAATATAATTATTATATTTATAATAATTAATGTATTAAAAAAGGTAAGTCATACGAATCCAAAGCGTAAGTTTTTAATAAAGGATAATAAAGGTAAGTTATAAAAATGCAAAGAGTAAGTTTTTGAAAATTGGAAATAATTAAAAAAAGGTTAGTTATAAAATTATACACTCAATTTTGAAAAAAAATAATTATGCTAAGAATAATTATACACCCAATTTCGAAAAAAGTTAACCCTTCTTATTATAATTATAATTATAATTATAATAGCCAATAGCCTATTACAATTAAATATACTATAAATATTCCTACAAATTGTACAATAATGTAGTCTATAAAGATGTCTTTCGAAATTTGTAAAGTAGTGATGATTTTTACCTTAAAATAATATAATCTCTATATTTTATTGCATCTCATTTTTATTATTGAAAAATGATTTGAAGTTAGTAACATAAAAATGTCCCGCACAACGCACAGGTGTGATACTAGTTTTAATGTACTTAAGAATATGAGTGTGAAACTAGAATAAACAATTCTCGTTAAGTACTTGATTATTCCTATCTCTTTCATTATTACTCCTTTCTCTTAAAAAACGAGTGTCCATTTTTTATTACAATGTTTAATTATAATTATTTGAGTTCATTTTCTTTGAAAACAGGCATGAAATTTAAAAATAAAAATTAAATAATAGGAGAATAGTACATCCATTTCCAAATGGAATTTTCATATTTTAATACAGGATTAGAAACCTCAATCTACTTCCTGCTATAACTAGAAAAATCTGCTTCAAGTCAAAGATAAATTCAAGAACATGGACAAAAGTATGACAATAAATCCACCAAATGATCCGATTCACGAAGCGGATCGTAAGAACAAAATTCAGAACGAGAATTCGAGAATTGGGTATGTATTATTAGCTTGATCTAGCTTGAATTTCCTCCTTTTGGGTCTCATCTATTTATACCTGAGCTACATGCACTTAAGGGTAACGCATAATCGATGGAGTCTATCCCTTTAAGGGCGCGATCCCCTTTTTCCGGCTCTGTAACGGCCAATTTGCTCCGTCTCCTTCTCCGTAACCGGCTCTGCCAGCTACGTTTGGTCTAAAGTCAACCGGGCCTGGCACCATGGGCCGGCCCAGACCTGGGTATTTTCCGAGTGTCTGACCCGAAGTGGTGTAAATGGTTCAGTTGGGCCGCCCACTGGGTTTCGGCCCATCATAAGCCCCCCAACTCCTCATGCTTCAGCTGGGCCAAGTGGAAGAATGGGGAGTTTGCAAAGTCCACGTGGGCGCTCCAGCGGGAATCCGGGCCGTTCCTTGGGTTCCGCGTGACGTCTGGGCACGATCTCCACAAAATAGGTAATCATGGCCCGCCGATTCGCCTCCCTGCTGTCAGTTAAAAAACCGCCGCTAGACGCCATCTTTTCCCTTCGCCTTCTTCACCATTATCCGTCTGCAATTCCGCTGCTTCCCAGCCCGTTCTTCTTTCTT